AGTATATAACGAAATACAATCATTTGATTGAAAATATCAGTAAAATCTTAAGACGAAGCTGAAGTATCATTAGATTATTGCACTTGTCCAGTTGGTCCGACTTGATTATGTGGTCATATTGTTGGAACCCTCAACTGGCTAGTATATAACAAATCATTAGGGAACACGGCACTTCCAGAGAGACAACCCGAAATATTCCATGTACATAGGGGACTGAACATTCGCAGAAAACCTGCGCAATATCTTGCAGTTGTAGGGTATTAGGAAAGGCAGCATTGAGTTTTTAGCACTTCTTTTAACATTCCAAGACATATTCTCTCAACAATATTATGCAATAAGAGGACAAAATATTAAATGTAATAAACATGTTGACATATTCCCTGCACCATATATGTAACAAAGCACAATGTTAAAAACAAAGTAATGCGATGATTTTTTAAAAGTTTTTATTTAAATTCAAGGCGCAAAAGACTGAACAAATGGTCCTTTAAAATATGCTAAAAACATTTCGCCAGTCAAGCTGATTGTTTTGCTTGCATCATAATAAACGCTCTTAATGTTTTCCTATTGAAAACTGTAATGAATATATAGTAAATTTTGTTGGAAATCCTGTATAACATCTGTCAACATCTGAAAATTTGTTTGTTATCACTGTTTGTTTTCTTCCTTAGTTTTCTGTAATTCTTCTTTGAACTGTTTGATAGTTTCTTGCCACTGCCATGAAGAGACATTACAATTAGAGGCGATTCAAATACCAATTGTCAATTTGTGTTCATGACTGTTACCAGTGGAATTCCTGAAAAATATATACCTTTTACAGACATATATGAATTTATGTCCATGATTTTTAATCTTATTGTGTGAAATGCTTCAAAACGAGCAACTATTGCAAAATATTGATCTGAAATAATACATAAAATAACCGTTATTGCTTTTTAGTATAATAACGGTATTGATTTAGATTCTGAAGCAATTATGTTTTAAATGTTATCTGTATAAGTGTGATATTTTAAATGAAATTTATGAACAATTATATTGTTATGTTTATATAAATGAAACATTTAAAACAATGAGAAATGAGAGTAATTAATGTAAGTAGTAATACAACTTAAGTAGCTTGGTTTAAAAAGAAAAGAACAATGGTATTTTACCTTGAAATGTTCTTTCATCCATCTTGTTTTCACAATCCTTTCCTTTGTTAAACTCAGATTCTTAGGTATTTTATGAAAATTAACGGTATAATTATATCTAGAATTGGAATAACAGAGGGGAATAAAAATGAGATTTCCCCAGTACGTTTAACACACTAGGGCTTATCAGGTCAGACATTATTTGTTTACATTCATGCCCTGTTAGCCTCTCTCTGGTGATGGAATGTAAAGTATGCATATAATTTGAGAAAGGCCTAATTCTGTAATGCGTATTATGAAACACTATCGTAATTTGTTTGCTTTATCCCTTCAAGGTAGTCACCTTTAATCAATACATTTATTTCTCGACTCTTCGCATCCATTCTGTAAAATGTAGAAAATATACGCATTCTGCTTACAGTGGAAAAAGACCAAACCCAACGTACGTACTGCGAGAGTCCACCTCATGATAGACTTTCAAAATTTCATGGGTACAAATGTCTGACACAAATAACGCGTTTCGGGAAGCTCTCAAACAAAACCCTAACTATCACCATTTTTTGTTGAGTAACTGTATTTTTGTGAATTACGCACAAGTTTCAAAGGCCGATCGCTAATTTACTTCTTTGACAAAATTTTAGACTATGTTATTTATATATAGCCAGTGATTGATAATAGAATAGGACCATGCACCAGTATTAATAAAATATTTGACATTAATTCCCCCACCCCACGCTTTTTATTGCTATGTCAATGATTGGTATGCCAGGGTCTTCACGCTTCCACTGCTAAAATCAGTTGGGATAAATAGTATAAATCTTAACCTGTGTGAGCATTTTGAAAATCGACATATCCTTTTTTACCCTCCGAGAGCTATGGGTGATAAGCACTTCACTCACTTGGTTACAGGACATTAAATTTTGGCTATTCATTTTTAGTAGGGAACCATTTTGTTCATTTGTCAGGAGTGGTTGGATAAATCGAGTACACTGTACAAAGTTCGATCTCTATGTCAAAATTTATTTAACTTGCAACAATGAATGCTGTACCAGCACTACATGTTAGCGGCTATATCAAGGTCGGGGTCCAAACAATTGTAGTGTATACAGTAGGCTTTTTCCGTATTTGTAACAAGGACCCTCATTAAGACATTAAGCCTAGACAACATACATATGTATTTGCATGTAGTATGTTACAGTATTAAGTAGAGACATATCATAAATTTTTAGGGATCCATTCCATGAGATTGAACTGTCAGCATGATCTTTTGCCGTAAGCCGGACAACTTGTATATGTATACCATCTGTGTAGATGCCATCTGCATTCCCATATTATACGAGGAGCATTCAATATTTAGTGACGGGCCTCATTTTTCTCTAAGTATGTTTCGTCAATCACGTGCAAAGTTACATTATGATACGCTTCAACTCTTTATCTTTCCAACGGTGTATCATACATGTATCCCAATTCAAACACGTTTTAAGAAATTCATTGTTGAAAGTTGAATATTCGATCAACTGCGTATAAAAATGGCTGGAAAAGATTCAGTAAATAATGTTGAAATTCGAGCTTACATCAAAGCGCGTATGACATTTGGGTTAAGTGGTGCAGCCATTCATAAATAACTTTGTCGTATTTATGGACCATCTGTGGTTAGTGAAAGAGCAGTTCAAATATGGATTGTTAAGTTTAAAAGTGGAACGGAGTCACTTAAGATGCTAGTGGTAGGGGAAGAAAACACACAGTGGTCAACAAAAACAACATTAAAAAATGCAAGAACTCATTAACAAAGAAACTCGATATACAGTTTCTGAAATAGCTAAGTATACTGGCATTTCAACGGGAAGTACATTTATGATTCTAAAGAAGCACCTCAAAGTTAAGAAGATTGCAGCCAGATGGATACCACATTAATTGACTGAAAAGCAAAAGCAAGAGCGTGTAAAATGTGCCAAGAAATTATTGAAGATGTTTCCCAAATATAACGATCGTAAATTTTCTAACATTGTAACTGGAGACGAAAGCTGGTTCCACTATTTTGAGCCCTCACGGAAGGTAAATAATAAGATATGGGCCACCAAACATATCCGTAGGCCCTGTTCAGCTAAAAGAATGACTGGCAGAAGAAGGTTATGTATGCCATGATCTTTGGTATACATGTTGTAGTGACACAAGTTCCTATTCCAAAAGGTCGTACCGTTACTGCAAAATTTTACAAACGAATAGTGTTAAACAAAGTTGACAAATATTATCGCAAATGACGTCCACATACTGGTATGAGAGGTTTGTATCTTCTCCATGACGACGCTACTCCACACAAGGCAGACATTGTTAAGAAATTCTTGGAGAGCAAACGTGTAGCTGTGATTAATCACCCACCATACTCGCCAGATTTGGCACCCTGCGATTTCTTCCTGTTTCCAAGATTAAAGAAACACCTTCAGGATCGCCGTTACAGCACTAGAAATGGACTTGGTTCAGCATTACATCAGTTATGTAGGGGTATACCTCAAGAAGGCTATAAAAAGCATTTCAAAATTGGATCAAACGTTTGAAACTCTGGATATTGTTCAAAGGAGATTACTTTGAAGGTTTAAAAAAATAAAAATGGTTGTTGCTATAAAAGTTTTCATTTTACTATAGCCCCGACACTAATTATTGAATACTCCTCGTATCACTACAGCAGCAACATTCAAATTTGTGGTTACCTGACCTGTTGTTTAGGACCTTATTATGTCTAATTTTGATCATGTTGTTTCTGCGATGATAAAATATTCAAATTTACTGTTACCTGAACTTGTTTGTCTAATTTGATCATGTACTTTGTCCCACAACCCTTTACAAAGAGGATACATTTATATAATTTACGACTGTGATGAGGGATTGAATGCCAATAAAATTATCTACAATTTCAATTAACATTGAAGGGCGTCCGCGTTTCGTGCCATGACGACGCTCAATATACAGTAGAAAAAAGTCTACTTGTCTGTTTTCTTTCTTTCTTTCTTTCTTTCTTTCTTTTTCTTCTTCTTCTTCTTCTTCTTCTTCTTCTACTACTATTCTACTATTTCTTCTTCTTCTTCTTCTTCTTCTACTTCTTCTTCTTATTATTATTGTTATTATTATTATTATTATTATTAAAAATGGGTTACATTAAGAAAGAAGAAAAGAAAAGAAGAAGAAAAAGTTTATCTCCAATTCATACGCATGAAGTACCTTGTTAATTAATATAATAAAATAAGAAATGTCACAATGATTGAATGCTAATATATAAATATGTCGGCTAATTCGAATTAATCAAACTAACATACATATATAACTACATTAAAATTTACTTATTTAATTAATAGGTTTACCAGGACAGGCTTACGCACTGTTGTGTAAACGAATTGAAACCCGATATTACAAGATCTAATTGAATTCGTGCAATTAATAGGTTTACCAGGACAGGCTTACGCACTGTTGTGTAAACGAATTGAAACCCGATATCACAAGATCTAATTGAATTCGTGCAATTTAGTTTAATCTTGAAAACCTATATACAGTAGGTCTATGTTTTTATGACAAGAAGGGGTCAAGTAAACTACAGGTGATACTAACTAATTATATAAGGTCAGAGGCGCTCAGTCACTTTGTTAAATGAAAGAATACTCAATGCAAATGTCTAAACCATCCTGAAGCCATGGAATTACATTAACAAAGACACGTTATTTAGCCTCGTATGTGATTTTGGTGAAAATTCACACTTTTTGAAAACTTTAATTTACGAGTGCTCAGTCATTTCTTATTAAATAAGATCAGATCATGGTCTTTCAAAATTCATTTTAGCTCAATGTTTAATTAACACGCATGGCATGTGTAAATAAAGTAAAAATATTTTTTAAAGCTAATTTTTGCTCGATTAGAATAGAGAATATATTCTCTATAAATCTAGTTAAATAATCAAATATTTCCCACGTCCGTGCAAAGTGAAAGTAAGTACATTTTTTAAATAATTTGTAATTAAACTTTTTTCTTGATAAAAACATTTGTTGAAGTAATGAAATTCAATTTAATTGATCCTTCTTGTTTGATCAAACGTATTTTCAACTGATTCCCTTCCAGATTGATGGTGATTTAAATTTGTAGATTTTGAGTCAATTCGCCCCTTAGTCAACTCGTCCACTAACTAGTCACCTATTTTATTTTAAATATTTGATATATTATTAGAAAATTCAAACTGAGCATGCAGAAGATTTTAGTGATAAATAATTAAAATGAACCAAACAGAGTACTTAGAGATAAGACACCAAGCTATATATCAATATCAAATCCCCATCCCCATTTTGACTGCCGACGTTTTATTAGGGAAAGAATATTATGATAAAAAAGCTACAAGTTATTGTAGCATGTTTATAATAAATAAACCAGCAAGCATTTAATAACTTAATGCAGCTGACTAGAGAATATATTTTTCATACAGCTAGTTAACACACTAAATATCTTTTGACTTGTCCATCAAAACCATTCACCTTTTTATTAGGGGACCTAAAAATGAAAAAAAATGTATTTCAGTGTGACCAGAAACACAATACACCCATAAACACTTTTCATATGAACTACGTAAATAACCGAGGTATATCGAGTGAAAAAATACGAGTTGTTTCCCTTATCTTCGAGTAAAATCGATATCTCTTACGCTAAAACAATACAAATTAAGCCATTTTTAAACCGCTTGTTTGTGGTGATTAAATGTCTGATTTTAAAAATTATTACATCAATGGAAAGCTTGGGATCTTAGCTTTGCCACAGTATATAATTTTACATATTTTTTGTCACCAAAGTATTTAAATTAACTGTTAAACCTACCATATGTCAGACCATTTTACATACGATTTATACAGAGAGATACGCAACCGGTTATCTTTACTCGAAAACCTACTGATAAGAATAGCCTGTCGTCTGCTAGTTGGGGAAAGTGTTTATTGGTGTATTCCAAATATTTCAAAATCTGTTTCACAGGCAGATAACCAGTTGCACAGCATTATTCAATGATAAATGACATACATTGAATAAAAATTTTAGTTTGCATGCATTGCTCCTTCAAAAAATGACTGACAGCAATTTATATTTACCCCCACCCAGCCAAAATCACACCTAAAATATACCAATATGGGCAATCTTCATGAAGGTGCAGCATACTCCAGATTTCGCCCGATTCCTTTAAAAATATCAGTATCACGCAGTGCAAGCTATGGCATTTTCAGAAATGACCAATAAAGTGTCTGTCATACGTTTAGATTTTTCACAAAATTTATCTGAAATTTCTTACTTGTTTGGCGCCAACTGTCAAAGCTTGATTTTTAACTTTTTCACCTCCATTCGGAGAGTCAGAAATACAAACAAAGCTACCAAAATGCTTAGTTTCGGGTAAAAACCCAAAAATACTTCTCATTTCCTACACACAAACAAGAAAGAATTACAATGACAGAGAAATATCAGAAGTTATCAGTACCTTCAAAACACCATGTCTGAGTTATTAAAAAATTTGACCAGGGCCATCATTCGAATATGTCCCCTGCCCCTTTAAAGGGAAATTTTCAATACATATTTACTGATTGAACTGTACAGGCTATGGTGATTGATCAGATGGCTGGTCTTGATCTACACAGGTCACATGACTAGGACCTGTTGCCTCTAGTCAAAATAAATTGATGTGCCCAAGTAAAGGGACAATATTTGCAAGAATAATATTGCCCATGCACAAAATACCACAATATTTCATCGCATAGTACAATTAGTTGGACTACAGTTACCAATAGCAGGCAAAAGTTTATATACTCTTTGACTTTAAACATATTCTTAATTATGATAATACAAGTAAATGGCTAGTATACTTGTACACTTTGCTTATTTATTACATTCTTTTATTCTTCACAGATACTTGACTGTAATACATGTTTTTCTCCTTGTAACTCCAACTTCTCAAGTTAATCTTATCATGGTTTAGAACTGTTCATTATTTATGGGAGAAAATGTGCAAGCAGCCGTATAGCTCATGCAGTCTGCAGAACTGTTTTCTTAGACTTAGGGTCTCTAGTTTGAGTCCCGTAACATTTTTCTCAACCTTTGACATTTGCGCCCAACATGGGACCATTACTACATATAGCTCAGAGTTTAATTCACATTGCTCTGTAGCATTAAGAAATTAGAGGATGATTTTCAATTTAGAGGGTTATGTCATGGTATCGAACTGTTCGCTAATTAGATTAGATTAGAGCTGTCATCGATAGAGACAATATCAATGTATCGTTGATATTTTCCTGTTGATCAGTAGTTGATACACTGTTGAAAAAAAAAAACGATTATTTTGATTAATAATATAAACCTATAAATTATGAAAATTCACTAAAATCATATACAAAAGCAGGTAGCCATATCTAACACTAAGCTTTTGTTACATAATGGAAACATTTCATAGCAGTGATGACAAAATATAGTCAATATAGTCAGAAAACAAATCATGCAAAAGTCCTTTAGAAACAGGACACAACATAATTGCAAGAACAGAACATTTATTTTGCTAAAATCATTTAAACAGGTATCAAAAAGTATTATATGCAAGAAAATAAGAGTGTTTTTAAATTATTGTTATATCAGTGTATTGCCGTTATTTGTCAGCCGATATCAATGTATCGTCAATATGCTTTGCACTGTATCAATGACAGCTGTAGGTCAGATAATGTTTACCTTGCCAGATAGCTCAGACGGTAAAACATGTACTGTATTTCAACATGTCCAGGGTTTGAGTCTTGGTCAGGCCGTGTATTTTTCTCACCCTGTTACAATTTTATTTGATCAATAAAGTAAGACCAACAGTATTATATGTAGCTTTATTATAAGTAACAAATTGTAAAAATATCAACAATACTTGCCACATCTAGCACTTTATGAAAATGCAAATGCTGTAAATGTTATTTCTCCCTACTGAGACAAGCTTACTTTGTATTATTTATAGAGAAAAATGGCACAGAAATATATCCCTGGGTTGACTGCAAGACCAGCAGACAATCCAGTAGCAACAAATGCTGCGCCAAAAGATGTGCCACAAGAACTTATTGATGCATTTACAAGTGGTGAAAAGCAGGTATTATAAAATTTTATGAATTTTTAGATTACATGTACATGTATATAGATTATATTTAGATAATTTGGTTTATGCAGAGTTTGAGATAAATGGTTTGCTACATATACATGACTTCTGACAATAAAAATAACAACATGATTACAGAAAGGAGAACAACAAACTAGGCAAGGCTTTCACTTCTGTTAATGATAAATTTGTATGCAAAATAATGTATTTGTACCCAAAAAATATTCCTATTTAAAGAATTAAAAGTGTTGACAAGTTTCTAGTTGAAAATGCAGAGCCTGATATAGCTAAAAAAATATTTTCTAACAGAAGAGTTAAAGCCCTTTATCCCACCAAAGCTTAAAATAGGCTTTTCTCATATTGAATGTGTTCTATAGTTCAATTCTTTTTTTTATTTTTGTTCCAGCCAATTAGTGCATTGACTGAATTTTGTGCCATGCAGAGATTGACTATTTCTTTTAAAGAAGTACCTGTTAAAAACTACTCACTAGTTGACAAGTTTGCAATGGAATGTACAGTTGATGGCATTAGTTACCCACAAGGGAAAGGAAAGACCAAAAAGGAAGCAAAAACAGATTCAGCTAAAAAGGCGTTTAAAATAATACTTGAGATAGAGACATTTGAGGATCATGGTGAAGGTACTGTTATGTTTCCATCTATTGCCCCTGGGGTTTCCATTTAACACCCCTGGGGTTTACATTTAATGCCCCTGGGGGTTGCTAATTAGAACAATAAAAAATTGGCTTTAAGATATGTTATTAAAGACACAGTTCATTTAATATAAAAATCATGATTCATTATTATGATATAAAATATAGAATCAATACAGGATTTTATGCTCCCCAAAGGGAGAGCATATAGTCACAGCTTTGTCCATCCGTCTGTCTGTCCGCTTCTCTCTTCAGAATGTAACTCTGAAACTAAAAGAGGTATCAACAAAAAACCTTGTAGGTAGATAGCTCTCATTGAGTAGAAGTGCAGTGCTTAGAAAGTTAACATTCTTGCAGTATGTGTCATTTATTGCTATGTTTTGAATAAAAATATTTGGATATTTTGGATTGCTCTTTCATTATGGATTATAAACTTTTTATTCTACAAAATGTGGGATGTAGAATTTTATTTCCAGTATTGTTCATGGATAGTTTAGGCTGTGTCAGAAGAACACATAATTATACAGATTGGCCTTGCGTCATATTCGTGACATAGACAAGCTAATATTTTTGCTTGCATTGTAACGATTAAAGATAATGTAACAGTAAAAGAAGTATATGTAGTTACAGATTTTGTTTGAATGTTGATTTGTTTTTTGCTCGGAAGGTAACACAATGAGAATATTATTTAATATTAAGTTTTTGTTCAGTTTGATAAGGTAATATTAAATTATGTATCATGGTTAAAATATGTCTAACAAGATAGAGCGTAGTCAAGCTACATGTGTGGTATATACAAGTCATCATTGCTGCTACTACCATTGTAACTATTCAGTTAAAAAAGTAGTACATTCATGTTAAAATGGATTTAAATCACTACAGTGTTGGAGCAGTACCAATAGTCGCAGATATTATGATCCATATTTTTACATTATGAATGATTGTGATAGTTTACATCACAATAAGTATTTTTGTGAAGAGGTTCTATTAAAGAAATAGGTTTTGTTTCTGTTTTGTTGTTTAATTTCTTTTTGAAAGTTTTTGTTGTTTGTTTTGTAAAATCAGTCTTGTTTTTCTCTTTAATATTCTGATTTAGAACTACATTCCCTTTATGCCTATTCACAGATGATTGTCTATGAACAGGCGCGAATCCCTATTGATTTTGATTAGAGGGCTTGCGTGCTTCCTGAAAAGATTTAAAACTTTCTATTTCTGGACAATGTTGTTCAAAATGACCTGTTTTTGAGCAGATTTTACAAAAATGACTATTAACCTTGCGAGAAATATTATTCATATTCCTACCTTGTTGTGAATGATAGTCTCGGTTCTGCCTCCTCCTGCTCCAGGTCTGGGGTGGATCCTGATGGTACTGAACTGGTTCTTGCCTGGACTGGTTCACAGTTGATTGGTGAGTCATCAGTTTAATGAGAGTGTCCAATTTAGCCTCAATAGCACTTGATTGTGAATTTTCACTTACAACTGAAACTTGAACAGTGTCTAATTCTGATTGTTCAGCCCTTATAGCGGCTCTTCTGGCAATATCCAAAGATAACAGTTCTTGTGGTTTGACAATTCTCTTAATTGATGGGGTTAAACCGTCCACATACTTCGAAATAAGCCATGAATCTGGCATGTTTTTGTCATTAGTCAAATTGTAAAATCTGGTTGTGTAATCACATACTGTTTCATTTGGTTCTTGTCTCACAGCATTTAAGGTATATCCACCATCACTACCATCAAATCGCTTTTTGAAGGCTTCAACAAGGTTATCCTTATTGTCCTTTGTTTCATCTGGTAAAGATTGGTACCATGCTTGGGCTTGTCCGGTAAGGTGGAATGGAAAGGTCAACTTTACCTTCTCATCATTGAAATTGTAGAGGACTTTACATATAGAAGTGTATTCCTTCAACCATGTTTCACCCTTGGAACCTGGCTGACCTTGAAATGTCACAATTTTAACATTCATTCCAGATGCCATCATAGGTGTTTGTTTGGTAAGAAGTACAGGAATTTCTTCTGCTTGAATGTCAATGGAATCAGCAGTCTCTATTGTCTCTTCTCTAAGTGTTGCCTGGTTATCTGTTAAAGTCTGCGTCTTTTTGCTCTTCCCAGTGCGAGATTTCCTTGGTGTTTGGGAATATCTTTCTGGGGTCTTCTGACGTCGACTCTCAAGGTTTCTGAGGACTGGTCTCTTACATGAACTTGGCGTTGTCATAGGGAAAGGATCGTACTCCACCAGAATTTTATGATCCTACGACAGTTGGCCTTTTTTATTAATTATTCATGGGCAGACTGTGTTTAAGTCCTTTATGACGAAACCCTGGAATAACAGAGTTAACACTTTATATATTAAAAATCCAGTTTATTACTTCAACGTCCAATTTTGGAATGATTACATAAATAACATTTTACAACATTATAAAATAAATCATTATAAGAAATCAATACAATATTTGAATTAACAATAGTTTGATCTTTTGATTAACAAATATGGGGAAATTAGCTTTATAGATTAACTCACTTTGCATAAGAGGTACCATTTTAACAATTCAAATAATTATAATATTACTATTACATAGTACCTAACAAATAATATCAATTTACATATTTAGAATAGATTTTATAAACTTTAATGAATTATAAAATATAATAAAAGTACATACCTGGAATAACAGAGTTAACACTTTATTAGTTAAAAATCCAGTTTATTCTTCAATGTCCAATTTTCGAATGATACTGGGACAGTTGAAGCTGGAAGTTTTGTTCAACTCTGTTAAACCATATGCAAATAAACATTAATGTATAAAATGTCCTAAGAAGGAAACATTAGGATGATTTCCTGCAAAAGTTACTATTTTTGTTTAACCATATATTTAGGCATTTAGATAAGGATGGAAAAAGAAAGGAGTAAGCTGACTGCTTATCAAGACTTGTTTGTTTAAGTGCTAATTGTCACTTATTGTAGCTTGACTTTAAAGCATGATATAAAGTTACTTTAACAAGTCTTTGTTAGAAAGCTTATGTAAAAATAAAACTGAAGTGAAAAACACTATTTTTAAGTAAAATTGTAACTATTTTAAAGTTACCAAAATAAAACTATTATATTTGAAATCTACATTTAGAAACAAAGATTTTGATATAAAATATGAAATATCTATTTTAAAAATACTTATTGTGATGTAAACTATCACAATCATTCATAATGTAAAAATATGGATCATAATACAGACATCATAATGACAAAATAGAAAAATATTGCTATTTTCGCTGTTTCTTACAGTTTTTATTTTTCATTCATTATCGTATATGAATTGGTGTGAAGAGAAGAGAAGAATTAGATTTCTTGAAGTGCATTTGCAGCAGGTGAAAAGTTAAGATTTTAGCATTTTCTGATTTATGTGCCTTGTCCAGTATATATTGGAATCCAGTATTTAGTTGGGTGCTTCAATACTTTTTAGCTCACCTGTCACAAAGTGACAGGGTGAGCTTTTGTGATCGCTTTTCGTCCAGCGTCCGTAAACTTTTACTTTAAATGACATCTCCTCATAAACCACTAGGCCAATTTCATCCAAACTTCACAGGAATGTTCCTTTGGTGGTCACCTTTAAAAATTGTTCAAAGAATATGATTCCATGCAGAACTCTGGTTGCCATGGCAACCAAAAGAAAAAACTTTAAATATCTTCTTTTAAAAAAAACCCAACAGCTAGAGCTTAGATATTTGGCATGAAACCTTCTAGTGAGTGTCTACCAAGTTTGTTCAAATAAAAGCCCTGGGGTCAAAATTGGCCCCGTCCGAGGGGGTCATTGATTTTCCCTATATGCATATAGTAAAAACTTAAAAATCTTCTTTTAAAGAACCCAAATAGCTAGAGTTTAGATATTAAGCATGAAACATCTTCTAGTGAGTGTCTACAAAGTTTGTTCAAATAAAAGACCTGGGGTCAAAATTGGCCCCGTCCCGGGGTCATTGATTTTCCTTATATGTGTATAGCAAAAACTTAAAATCTTCTTTGAAAAAACCCAAATAGCTAGAGTTTAGATATTAAGCATGAAACATCTTCTAGTAAGTGACTACAAAGTTTGTTCAAATAAAAGCCCTGGGGTCAAAACTGGCCCCGCCCCAGGGGTGTCATTGTTTTTAACTATATGTGTATAGTAAAGACTTAAAAAATCTTCTTTCAAAAAGCCCAATGAGCTAGAGCTTAGATGTTTAGCATGAAACATCTTCTTATAGGTGTCTACCAACTTTGTTAAGATAAAAGCCCTGGGGTCAAAATTGGCCCCGCCCCAGGGGGTCATTGATTTTCCCTATATGCATATAGTAAAAACTTAAAAATCTTCTTTTAAAGAACTCAAAGAGCTAGAGCTAAGATATTTAGCATTAAACATGTTCTAATAGGTGTCTACCAAGTTTGTTCAAATAAAAGCCCTGGGGTCAAAATTGGCCCCGCCCCGGGGGTCATTGATTTTCCTTATATGTGTATAGCAAAGACTTAAAAAATCTTCTTTGAAAAAACCCAAATAGCTAGAGTTTAGATATTAAGCATGAAACATCTTCTAGTGAGTGTCTACAAAACTTGTTCAAATATAAGCCCTGGGGTCAAAATTGGCCCCGCCCCGGGGTCATTGATTTTCCTTATATGTGTATATCAAAATTTTAAAATCTTCTTTGAAAAAACCCAAATATCTAGAGTTTAGATATTAAGCATGAAACATCTTCTAGTAAGTGTCTACAAAGTTTGTTTAAATAAAAGCCCTGGGGTCAAAACTGGCCCACCCCGGGGTTTCATTGTTTTTAACTATATGTGTATAGTAAAAACTTTAAAAAATCTTCTTTTAAAAAGCCCAATGAGCTAGAGCTTAGATGTTTAGCATGAAACATCTTCTTATGGGTGTGGGGGGGGCTATATACAGGTGAGCGACCTCAGGGCCATCATGACCCTCTTGTTTTAGTCTCACGCTGTTTAAATTCTTTCACAGAGTCTCCATATGGTGCTCCAGGGAGTTCTGAAACAGCAGTGTTGTATAGTCGTACTTCAGAGCCATCAAAACCAAGTCAAGCCTACAAGGTATGTAATTGTACCAAGTCTTCTTCAAATGAGCCGCGACATGACAAAACCAACATAATGGGTTTGCGACCAGCATGGATCCAGACCAGCCTGCACATAAGCGCAGTCTGATCAAGATCCATGCTGTTCCCTTACAAACCCTATATTAAGTAGAGAAACTGATGAGAAACAGCATGGATCCTGATTAGACTGTGGGGATGCGGGCTGGTCTGGATCCATGCTGGTCGCAAACCCATTATGTTGGTTTTGTCGTGAAGCGGCTCAAATATAGGTCATGTGATTTCTGTTAGATCATTGTTGTTTGTTTCCCCCCTTTATATACAGTAATACTTTGAAAATTCAGTTAAACTCTTTTCACAAGTTGGATATAACTAAATATCTACTTGTACAATACATGATTTTGTTTTATACACACTTTCTTAAAAATATTTGATTATTGTACTTATTTCATGTCTGAATTTTTGTCAGGTATATTTAGAAAATCTGTCAATCAACTAGCTCAGTAGGGAGAGCGCGGGATTTTTAATCCTGGGGGTTTCTGGTTTTATCCTTAAGCAAGGTTAAAGTTCTCTGTGACAATAATTTATCTTTGACATAGATTCTAATGGTCATTTGAATCTCACCGCTCATTCAGAAATCATGTGGGACTAGTTAGTCACTTGTGGCGAAGTTCATAAGTACTGGTCAGTTATTGAGGAAATCTGGTTCACCAGATGGACTTAATGCAGAACTGTGACCAAACTTGTGTTAAAATCACTGGAAACCAAACAAATTTAGAAAATTAAACTGACTGATTTGCTTGTGAACATTCAGGCAGATATTGGGAAAATTGAAAATTAAGTCATTTTGAAATAAAACTACAATGCATATTGTAATTACTACTGCTGTCTGATTGTCAAAATAAAGATTTTTGGATTTTGCTACATTTTGAAAATCTAAAAAGGGCTTTGTAAAGGCTGTAAGGCAAGACATACCTGTTTTTCAAAGGGTGTTTCCAACACATAGTAGTGATTATGCAGTAGTGTGTTAATGTTATTGGTTAAATTGCACTATTGATGTTTTAGCCATGTGTCTGCTTGCATCTGGAATGGACAAGCATGTTTGGTTTTTCTTCCAGAAATAACATTGAAACGTTGCATATTGCCACCTTAATGCAGGAACGAGTTTACTCGGTGCAGTAATGAGTTAACTTGATTTGAAATTTAAAAGGAGTTAGCCCCTTACTGCACTAAGGTTATGATTATGTGACCTTTACAGTGTCAGACTGTTCCCGTCAAAACAATCAACTTTTGATATCTAGAATTTCAACGTCAATAAAATGAGCCTCGTCATGACAAAACCAACATAGTGCGTTTGCGACCAGCATGGATCCAGACCAGCCTGCGCAGTCTGATCAGGATCCATGCTGTTCGCTTATCAACTATTACAAGTAGAGAAACTGATAGCGAACAGCATGGATCCTGATCAGACTGTGTGGATGCGCAGGCTGGTCTGGATTCATGCTGGTTGCAAACGCACTATGTTGGTTTTGTCGTGATGCGGCTCAAATCGTGACTGCGTCTGCTTCATGTTTCTGTTATACAGGCAGGCGATCAAACTGGGGAATATGAACCTCCTCCTCAGAAGATTAGTCCCGAAAAAATATTCCAGGATTATTGTAAAATGATGAGGAAGCCTGGCTCTGTTGATGTTCCTGATGCTCTTGGTCCATTCGGGTAAGTTTACCTGGTTAATTGAGTAATGTCAAAATTAACCTAGATTGAATGTTTAACTGCTTCTTTAGGGCCGGCAAATTATGATTTTGACTCACTTGTCAATTTTATCTGATTTATTTCTTAACTTGTCAGTATTTTATTCATAAAGTATATGCTGGTCAAACTCTACTTGTTTGTGGGACAATCTGGGCAAATCGGACAATTGATTTTGCCACCCATGTTCTTCAAAGAAAAAAAAATGAAATAAAACAAACATTGTTTCATTAAGAGTGTGAGATTTCATATTTAGTCACAAAATAATATGGTGATAGTTAATTAAGCATGAAGAAAACTTTTAAAACGATTTTATGAAAATGAAACTGCTTTTATTTTTGCATTCCAAGAAAAAAAAAGGTTTGTATGGCAAAAGAAATATTACTTATCATTATGTTTAACTTCATTTAGAGGCTGTAGCTATAATTACTGAACTATGTCGCTAGAACAGAGCCAGGCTAAAATATACATCTATGACTATGCCGCCTGATACAGATCTATAGTATACTCCTTGCATTTCACCTGAATATTTGATGTTGAAACAACTAAAAAAAAAAAACTCAAATTCCAAAAGTTCATGTGGTATAAGATATCATTTATCCTGTCCTACATTGGAGCAGGTACCACGATTGTGTCTTACAGGGATTTAATCCATAACCTGCTGGAATTGAAAGTGAAGCCTAATTGCCACCAGTACAAAGTCAAGCTAGTCTGCACATCTGTGTAGTCTGACCAGAATCTATACTATTTTACTTTATTTTTAGCTCGACTGTTTTATTAATATGCTCTGTCCTACTCACCAGAACTTCAGCATCACAATTTTGGTTAAGTTTTTCGTACAACCCCACTTATTTTCTCTACCCTTTGCTTATAAAACTTTGTATACTTATAAGTGACCATAATCTCTACTTCCAGGCAAGAACATGTACTTATAATAGTCAATCATACTGTCTTACAGACAGCTCTTGTTGTATTTTGATATTACGATCTTTTGATTTTCAGATGGACTGTTTGATTCATAGAGCCATCAATATATTGAGTCTTGTCAGACTGGTTTATATAATAATTATGTAGGCACACAGTCTACACTATATACAAATGTATAAGTAGCAAAGGGCTATACATATCATTGTGAGGATACACAGATTTTTAAAATAGAAGTTGTGCCCTAAATCATAAGGCCTGGCTCTTTACTGATGTCACATATAAAGATATTAAGTTATATAATGATGCTTCATTTTATTTACAGATTTACAGCTAAAGTGATAATTGGTGGGAGGGTTATCAGCGAGAGTGTAGGTAAAACAAAGCGTGAAGCCCGACAGTCTGCTTTACTGGAGGCTATAGAAACCCTGGAAATGTCTCAACAGGTGAAGTCAATGCTAGTAGTCTTTATAACTTAACTCTTCTATTGGCTGTTTTACAGGGCATTGTCTAAATTTTCACAAATGCCAAATTATATCAAACTGCATGTTACAAAGAAGTGTGATGATTAACTAGAACTTGGGTTATAAATAAAAGCTTGTAAACAATAGCATGGATGGCTAATTGTCAGAATCTTTGTCATACATGATTAGGTATGATAGTGTTTAATATCAGTGCACACTTACCATGATTGCTTCTATCAAATGTGTCAGGGCAGGGAACCGGTTGTCTGGTAAGGTTTAGAGCATTTTCTTATTTACTTTGTAAGCTGATAGTTGTGTGTTTGAATCACATGTTGCGTGAAAATCTTTTTTATTTGTAATTGCATCTTTCTGTTACAAATTTGAATTTTTCATAGGATTAGGGGGAAATGTAACTTTTGAGAAGTAAACATTTGATTTTGACAAAATTAATAATTAAATAACTAAAGCATTGTATAATACATGACTAACATGTATTTTACTGCTATAATTTCTGGTTCCTACATTTGATGCTAACTTTGGTATGTGTAACAATATAACAGTTGTACAACAAGAAGGATACTCTAGAGGATGAAATGGCGAAAGCATGCTACAAGAAACTGGAGGAACTGATCTCAAAGTGTCGTGATTGTCCAGATATAGTCACAGCTAAACACTCATTTGCTGCCTTTATTGTAAAAAGAGGAGGTAAAATGTTTTAGATTGTTTTAAAAAAGAATCGATCATTTTTGGATCTGAAAAAGGAAAATTTACTAGATTTTGAGAAGTGTTTTTGTAGATCAAGATACTTACATGTATTGTTTGTTTTACCCATTTGGTCAGGATTCCTATGTAAATGATGTCTGACAGTTGTCGTTTTACTCTCTTAACGTAACCAATACCTTTTACATATGATTCTTAGCTTATATATTTGAACAATAGGAAGAGCTATTGTACTCATCCTGGCGTTGACATCAGCATCACACTTGGGTACAATTTTTGCAACTACATGTACTGAATGAAATGGGTTAAAACTTCACACACTTATTTGAGAGAAGGTCACTGTGTAACTTTTACATGAATTTTTACAGAATTATGGCCCGTTTTGAACATAGAAAAATTCTTCATTATCGAGGCTTTTGAAACTATTTCATATTACATGTTTCAGTGAATGATAAAGGAGAAATTGTTGCGTTTGGGACGGGCAATACATGTTTATCGTGTGATAACATCACAACTGATGGCCGATCTGTGATTGACAGTTATGCTGTAGCCATAGCTAGAAGATCTCTTTTAAAGTAAGGCAATACATATACTGGATCTCAGTATTTCTAGATATTTTTTCTGAAACCTGTACTGTTACAGTTATAATGTGTTAAATCTTGACCTCAGTAATATTTGTTGGGGTTTTTTTTGCTGTTTTTTTTCAAATCTTATTATTTGATCTAAATTAATGGCTCACTTTGATCAACATTATCAACAAAAATAACCTTTATACTGTAGTATAGCTTGCTTTTTAAAAACCTCTTCCCTTAAAAAAATTTTTCGAACTTATAATAACAAAAACGATTGTTACATGCAAAATGGTTAGAAACATAAGATATATTACACATATTGTAAAATGACATTTTTTGCTACTCAGGTACTTCCACAAAGAGATAAAGAGTTATTTTGATGGAGCACAGGTATTATCAATATTTGAGGATAGTGATACACCAGGTATGCTACAGTTAAAACAACATATTACGCTACATCTGTACCTGAGCCAGCCACCACCAGGTGACTACAGAGAGTGCCTTGATATGTAAGAATCTATTTTTAGAATAATTTGAGCCCTCATTTGTTGCATCATTATTATTGTTTTCATTATAGTGCTCTCATAGTTATAGACCATCATGTTAACATTTAGAAACTCATATGTTACATGCCATTAATTAAATGCTGAATTTTTTAATTTTGCATGCAATTATTTGTTGTAATTGAAGCTGTTGTTTGCCCTCATAGCTTACATACAGCTAGTATGCTATTATGTCAGTTGTTGGTGTCAACTTTTATACAGTGCATTGCCCTCATTACATACATAAAGTGCACTGTTATGATTGTTGTGTGCCCTCATAGCTTACAGTCAGTGCATTATTATGCCTGTTTCTTGCCCTTATAACTTACATACAGTGCACTATTATATCTGTTTCTTGCTCACATAACATACATACAGTGCACAATTATATCTGTTTCTTGCTCACATAACATACATACAGTGCACAATTATATCTGTTTCTTGCTCACATAACATACATACAGTGCACTATTATATCTGTTTCTTGCTCACATAACATACATACAGTGCACAATTATATCTGTTTCTTGCTCACATAACATACATACAGTGCACTAATATATCTGTTTCTTGCTCACATAACATACATACAGTGCACAATTATATCTGTTTCTTGCTCACATAGCATACATACAGTGCACAATTATATCTGTTTCTTGCTCACATAACATACATACAGTGCACAATTATATCTGTTTCTTGCTCACATAGCATACATACAGTGCACTATTATATCTGTTTCTTGCTCACATAACATACATAGAGTGCACAATTATATCTGTTTCTTGCTCACATAACATACATACAGTGCACTATTATATCTGTTTCTTGCTCACATAACATACATACAGTGCACAATTATATCTGTTTCTTGCTCACATAACATACATACAGTGCACTAATATATCTTTTTCTTGCTCACATAACATACATACAGTGCACAATTATATCTGTTTCTTGCTCACATAGCATACATACAGTGCACAATTATATCTGTTTCTTGCTCACATAACATACATACAGTGCACAATTATATCTGTTTCTTGCTCACATAACATACATACAGTGCACTATTATATATGTTTCTTGATACATAACATACATACAGTGCACAATTATATCTGTTTCTTGCTCACATAACATACATACAGTGCACTATTATATCTGTTTCTTGCTCACATAACATACATACAGTGCACAATTATATCTGTTTCTTGCTCACATAACATACATACAGTGCACTATTATATCTGTTTCTTGCTCACATAACATAACATACAGTGCACAATTATATATGTTTCTTGCTCACATAACATACATACAGTGCACAATTATATCTGTTTCTTGCTCACATAACATACATACAGTGCACTAATATATCTGTTTCTTGCTCACATAACATACATACAGTGCACAATTATATCTGTTTCTTGCTCACATAACATACATACAGTGCACAATTATATCTGTTTCTTGCTCACATAACATACATACAGTGCACAATTATATCTGTTTCTTGCTCACATAACATACATACAGCGCACTATTATATCTGTTTCTTGATACATAACATACATACAGTGCACAATTATATCTGTTTTTTGCTCACATAACATACATACAGTGCACTATTATATCTGTTTCTTGCTCACATAACATACATACAGTGCACAATTATATCTGTTTCTTGCTCACATAACATACATACAGTGCACTATTATATCTGTTTCTTGCTCACATAACATACATACAGTGCACAATTATATATGTTTCTTGCTCACATAACATACATACAGTGCACAATTATATCTGTTTCTTGCTCACATTACATACATACAGTGCACAATTACGTCAATTATTGCCCTCATAATTTACATACAGAGCCCTCTGATCATTAATACCACTTGGCATTGCAATTTTAGTTTTAATATTAATTTGATTATTACTGTTTGTACAACAACATTTAGTTCAACTAATATGCTGCTGAATTTGTAAAATGGACTTGTCCAGCTTGGAATTTTAAAATAGTCCATTAGTAGTGTAAGTTAGTTAAATACTAGTAGTCTAGTTTGCACATCCATGCAACTTGACAATACTGCATGCTTGTGGCAGGTCTTATATATAGTCACCAGTGGGCCACCAGCACTTAATTGATAAACTGCATGCAAAATATATTTCCTCCTTTAATGTCACAGTCTCACTTCTTTTTAATCAACAAAACAAAGATTATAAATGCTTTGAGGAACAATTTGTAATTTTAAAGACATATGCCAGGGAAATATTGATCTTTTTTTTCCAGTAAATGTGATCCATTGACACCTGAACAAGAGGATATGGTGGAGGATGGTTCCCATTTCCCAGCATTCAATGATGATTTACCAGGCTGGTTCTCGGTTAAAAATGAAGATGGTATGAGAATTTTGTATACCTTTGTCACTTAATACTTATTACTATTCTTTTTGATACAGGTGTTACTTCTTTATTTTAAATTGACCAATAGTTGTTGTTGTTGTGTTGTTGTTTTTTTTTGTAAATAAGGAATTCCATTTTTTCTTCATTGGTATATGTTTCTTGGTAACTTTTGGAGATATGTTTTATATGTTTCTCTTTTGCCTAATTTAAGGCATAGACAGACAATTCAATTTATTAACAAACTTTTTAATCTTTTGGTTTAACAATTGTATCTTTTTGCAAAGTGTATGAATAAAAGGTGATTGTCAATGGTGTTTACAATTTTCCTGACTAAGCAGCATTTAATAAAAGGTTAAAATCATATTTTGGGCTTGAACTTGTTATGTTTGTTCATGTAGGTCTGGTGGAATGTGTAGAAGAGGACCAAGCGGCTGTACAGGACCTTGATAACTTACAGGAGGGAGCTGATGATCTTCTTGTTATGTCGTGTAGTGATAAACTCTTACAGTGGAATGTACTTGGTGTACAGGGGGCGCTTTTTAGCGTCTTTATGAAGCCTGTCTATATTGATTCCATTGTTCTAGGTGAGAACAAGTAAATGCTCAATTTACCCGTACTGTAATCAGCTGATTTTTTGTAATGGAACTCTTCTATCAGTTTAGTATTCTTGATTCAGAGTTTAAGGGTTTTCAGTATGAAAATTAAAAAAAATTGCTACCAACAGTATAGAGCCTGGTCAGACTGAATGGCTCTATATTGGTGGCAAATGATAATCACATGGTTCCGGCTGATTTTGGGTAAACGGTTATTTTGTTGCACTTTTTGTTGGACTCCATCAGTTAAACTGTAATGAATAACAATAGACTTCAATATCTCTCAAATGCTTCCAACAATTCAATTTGTATCAATAAATAAAAATTGTAATGACAACATATCTCACCTGATCTAATGAATTTATAACATAATCTATTAATTTGACAATATTCAGGAAGAGAATATCACCACGGGCATTTGTCACGTGCCGTGTGCTGCCGTCTGTACGACATTTTGAACAAATATCTACCTGAACCTTACATTATACATCACCCATTCCTGACCACTACAAACCTTCATATAGAAGAGAAGGATGGTGCACACACAAAATACAGTATGAATTGGTGCCAAGGAGATGATACCCCAGAAATTACAGATGGTTATTCTGGGAAAACTATTGACGGGCAAGTATTTTATGTAGATATAAATAAAATCTTTATCTAATGACAGGCATATACCAACAGTAAAGAGCCTGGCCGGTCTGCACATTCCTGTGTTCCAAACAGACTATTATAACATTCTGACTGTTGATTTGTAGAATGTATTTTAGTAGTAAATGCTTAAAACTCATTCTGTCCTATTGCCAACCTTTGGTGTCATTGGTATCCTTAACCTATTTACAATTGCTCCCTACTGACTTGTCTTGGCAGCTAAAAACAGATTAGCTCTGCAATGCCTGGTGACTTACTGTGTCATCAAATTACATTGGTTTGTTTTTAGCTCGACTTTTCTATGAAAAGGGGAGCTATCCTACTCGCCCCGGCGTCGGCGTCGGCGTTGGCGTCACACCTTGGTTAAGTTTTTCGTACCACCCCACTTTATTTCAGAAGTATTACAAGTATGGCTTTGAAACTTACCATACTTGTTCACCATCATAACCTCCATCTACAGACAAGAGTACAATAACTCTGTCAAGGTTTTTGACAGAATTATGGCCCTTTTTTGACTTAGAAAGTGTATTGAGCTTGGTTAAGTTTTTTGTACCACCTCACTTTATTTCAAAACCATTGGAGGTATTGCTTTGAAACTGACCATACTTGTTTACCATCACGACCTTCATCAACAGACAAGAGGACATAACTCTGTCAAGGTTTTTGACAGAATTATGCCCCTTTTTGACTTAGAAAATACATTGAATATGGGTAAAATCCACTTATTGCCTTAACCCTTTGAGATATTGCTTTGAAACTTTTAATGCTATTTCACATCATTACCCCCATCTGTACGCAAGAGAAGGTAACTCTGTCAAGGATTTGTTTTAAAAATTAAGGCCTTCAAACTTTGCTGCAGTGTTCAAGGGTATCACACAATTCAGTAAAATAATTCTTCACTAAATATCTTAATGCTCATGGCCATTGTTCACTTTAAAAATACAGAGATTCTTGTATTGCCTTTTACTGCAAAAACTTTTTTTATTGGCAAGCAATAAAAAAGTCGAGCGCGCTGTCTTACGGACAGCTCTTGTTAATATACTGGTATTTGCATCATTTTTTAGCAATCAAGATTTGCATTCCATCTGTATTATAAAAATTATCCACAAAGGTGTGAAAATCAATGTCTTATCATGTAAATTAATATAGAGTAAAATTTATGGAGAATTGGAAAACATAATTTGATATGCTTTATACGGACAATGAGATTGGACAATACCAGTATGAACAATATTTTTGTATTTTAATGGTGAAACCATCTTCAACAAAATATTGGACTGTTCCAAACTGAAAACAGGTTAGGTCAATTACAGAAATATGTATCACTGTGGGTCTAAGTCATATTCTACCTTTAATTTTTTTCTCTAGATCACCATTTAGGAGCACAAAGAATCAAGGACCATGTGCAAGCAGACTTTGTAAGGCAGCTTTCCTGTTCCGATTCCGAGACATTGGAAAAGTTCTGAAGAATAGAGACATGTGTTTGGCCCCCACTTATATACAGGCTAAATCTATGGCAAGTGATTACCTGGAGGTTAAACAAAAATTTCGACTTTTTACCCACAAAATTGGTCTTGGTCACTGGATTCAAATGCCTAAAGAGATCAGTTTGTTCGATAAGTGAAATTTTGAAAAAAAGAAGATATTCTAGTCCAATGATATTAGGACAGTAAGATTTTGATGGAGAAAATATTATATTTTGTTGATACCCATTTGTATGGGATCTGAATTTGTTGCAATAAGAAAGTTTGAAAAACATTGATAGAGTTTACTATCATTTGTGCTATATTTCTCATTTTGTTTCTTCTTTTTTTAAGAACATACATGTACACTATTTTTGGAATAGGGGCACTATGCCTTTTCATTCTATTATTGACATAAGTTCAAAACTGTTTAAGTTTTGCTTGCAATTTTATTTCTTATAAACTGTTTAAAAAAGTAAAAACTTAACATTTCACACATCTTCATGGTTAAAATATTTGACAACTTAACAAGACCTTGAACTATAGCATATTTTTGTACTGAGTTATTCCCCTTTTTGTATGAATTGTTTCTAGTATGAAAACAATCAGTGTGTTATTATGTAACTGGTTAATTGGCTAAAATGTAAAAATTTATGTCAAACTTCAGCTTCTAATTGACTGACTTATATCTTTAATTTGAAAACAACGAAGTGTAAAGATTTATGTCACAGTCAGTCATGAATTCATATATATTATTATTCGTGTTTGAAGTTAACCTCCAGTAGAGCATTAATATTTTTCATCGCAAAATCATATTTTATAAGCAAAAAAGATATATGATATTATCAGCATTAAGTTCTTTTTCATTATCTGTAGCTGGAGATGCACCAATATAGATATTTTCCCCCACTCACCATTCTTCATTTATATTATAGAATTGCCCTGCTTTGGATATTGAACTATCTGTTGTAAATGTGAGAGGTTTTCATGCATAAGTTAACAATTTTAGATCTAGCAATTATAATGTGTATGACTGGTCTATGCCATGAGGATAGAGCTCTACAAGTTTGTATAGTTAAAGGTATTACTAGGTTTCAAACCTTTGGGTGCTTTGGTTTTATTATTAGCTCAGCTTTAAGGAGAGCTGTTGTACTCATCTAGGCTTCAATGTCAGCATCACTTAGGTATTTCCAAAACTACTGAAGGGAATGGATTGGAACTTCACACACTGATTTGAAAGCATAACAGGAGCTTACTTTCCAAGACCAATAACTCTAACAGATTTTGATAGAAAAATGTGCCTTTTTACTCAAACATTGAGAATAGTCATGCACGCTGTCCTACTGACAGACTGACAGCTCTTGTTAATGTAATGCAATCTCGCAGACTGGTAAAGGACAGGTCTTGATTCAAAGCAGGACAATTTGGTAAGGGAAAGGGTTAACCAGTTTTATCACATGTCAACTGTACTTACATCCTTTAAATTCAGTCTAGAGGAAAGTTTAGAATCAGACTATGAGAAACTGAAGTCTTTAACAACCTAACTTGATACAGTTGTGTAAAGTAATTATCCTTGATGCTTTTATTATTTTGTTAGTACATCTGACCAGTGAGTGGTGATCTTCTGTGACAATCTTATATCCTTACTCTTGTATTATTTTTGCACAATATAAGTTTCGTTCCAGATTTGATTTAAAGCAAAATTATATATTGTTCAGAAATTGGTTATTTTCTGTGCAATAGCAATATGATTTTCTTTTTGATTTGATTTCTAACAAATGTTTACCAGGAGATACAGGTCTCTTTGTTGAACCAGCCATTGTCCACAACATGTGCTAAACTAATGTCCATGCAGGGGAGCAAGTTAGTGCTATGATGGCATTCTCGTTAAAATTTTTAAACTGTTTATACTTTTTGTCTTTATTCATTACTACAATCATGTTTAGTTTTTTTATTTCATTTATAAATTGTTAACAATAGTTCATCAGATCAGTTTCAGTAAAAAAATTAAAATGAACATTACTTTTGTTGTTCTTTTGTCACATTTCAGTTGAAGATTATAACCACTGTATGTAAACTAATGTTATGTCTGTCTCTCAACCTAATGGTTATGGGTTCGAGCCTATTTTGGGTCACACCCATGTTTCCTATACTAGTATGACCTCAGTATTGTTCAGGTCTAAGTAAATATTTACATTGGTTGCAAGGACAAATTGTCTTTGATTATACAGAAAGGGGCGCCTGATGTTCTCTTCCTTCATAGTTGCCAGGTAAAAGTATACATAACAAAACAATTGAGTGCATGTTTTATCATTTTTTATATTTTCAAACTAAAAGGATTTTTAATACATAGTATGACTTTTGCAAAACAATGTACAATGTATATTTGAATTAAAATTTATAAAAATATCTCAAAGAAATTCATTAAGTTACAAAGATTCCTATATTAAGCTATGAAATTCATGTTGAAATCCCATACAAACAATTCAATTGCATACTCGATGATCATGAAGTTTAAAATATATGTATATGAACATACAAATCAAATTTCCATTAATAACTTGAAATGTGTCCATAGGACACAAATGCCCCACCTATTGACATTTTACCTTCATGTACAACCTGGACATGGATGTTGCACAAACTAACTGACCCTGGAAAAAAATTGTGCCAAACATTTTCACAATCCATTAATTAAATAAGACATTTATAAGCCAAAGAAGATGGCAGACACAAACCATTTGACCTCTAAGTGTAACCTTGACCTTAACATTGCTGACATGAGTTTTATGCACATAATGCATTGTCTGACTGGTGAAGATATATGCCAAATATTTAGACAATCCATCAAGATATGACAGTTATAAGCCATTTTTACAGGATTTGACCTTTGACCACAAGTATGACCATGACCTTGAAAGTGTGGATGTGGATCTTGCATGCTAAACAGTGTCTACTCATGGGGATCATGTTTACCTTTTTCTTCTTCTTTTTTTTAAATCTTATACATGCAAAAGATTCTCACCAGACACAAACACCAGCTGCATTTAAAACTATAAATATAGACAAAAGACTATAAATATAGACAAAAAGACTATAAATATAGGAAAAAAGACTCTATAGACAAACAATAATTTTATAATTTTTCCTGGCTTCTGAATAATTTTTTTTTTACACCTCTAGAATCTGCAACATATTTCAGTGACAGCATAATTATAATATTTTATTTTTTTGAAATCTTAAGACTAAATAATTTGATGTAAAATATGGGGCATAACATATACAATGTACAAGCTTCTAACTTGAAATATAAACAAATACCAGTAACTCATTTATATGACTGACAACTTAAAAGACTAAGTGTAAAATTTTATATCAAAACCTATTTAATTTTCCATCGTATTTCTTTAACAACTGCCATAACGGTTAGATATTTTACCCGTAATCCAAAATAAAATTAACTTGTATTGGTAAAAATATCTTATTTCATACCCATTTATTTTAATATGAAATATATTCTAATATTTTGCTGGAAACAGTTTTCAATGTATCATAGATGATAATTTTGTACAGAGATATGGCAAGACATTTTTGTGTAGATTAATGTTCATTATTGAGCTTTTGCTAAATTAAATTGGTCAAAAACAGCACAGCTGTTGGACCAATTTAACTTTGTAAATGCTTACTAATGAACATTAACCAATTTAAGAGTTTAAACTCATTTTTATGAACAGTTAATTCACTACATTTATTTACAGCTGATTTACTAAAGTAAATGTGTTACCATTCCTTTAAAATACTGCAATCTTATTGGACAAAAAATAATTTTAAACACTTAAATGTGTTAACTGGTAAAAGATAAATAGATAAAATCTAATTTCATTTGCCATAACTGATATTGATTTCATAATTCAGTCAGGCAATGAGTTGTAATAACAATTTCACATGTATAGATGTAAGTTTTGTGGCAAAAATGGATGTTTGAATCATACTCATTTAAAGTGACATTATGCTCAATTTTTTATTGCTGTCAAGTTGAGCTGAATTAGTTATAAACATAGTATTTCAAAAGATTGACTACTGTAATAGTGATTGATCAACAATTATTGGTAACAAAAAATGTTAAGGATGAAATATAAAAACTACCTTAATTATATTAAAAAGAATGCACCCACTCTGTTAAGAATTGACCTGACAAATTCTGAATAGTATTTATCGGAATATCCGAAAGTCACATGGATTTTTGATTATTTTTGCAAAGTAAAATATAATATTGAACAAAATTATGGTAAAATATTAAGTTATTTCCATGTATTACCTATGCATTAATCATTTACATTTGGATGGGCAATGGCATAATGTCACTTTAAAGTCTCGCATACAGTTCATATATACTAAGTACCATTTCATATCAATATTATAAAACCATAAATATATCCAAGTTAAAAACTTTATAACAAAGAATTTATCTTGTAATATCAATAATAAAATTAAAATTTAAAAAATAATAACATTAGATCTGTAACAGAAAAAAATGACATAATATCTTGCTGTTGGAATATAATTTTTGGAGTTTTCATATAGGCAAAAAATTAAAACTGTTAAATAGAATTTCTTTAAACTTGGCATGTTATTAGAATATGGTAACAAAAACATTTAAAGTGGAAAAAAATTGGATTTTTTTATTTAACAGTTTTAATTTTGCCTATATGTCTATATGAAAACTTCCGAAAACGTCCTTAAAAGTTGGTGTCTTTAAAGCCAAATAAGATACATGTACTGATCTAAATATAATTTTGACTATCTATTTTGTTTACATTCTAACAATAATCTGCTAAATAAGGACAAGAGCAAATAAATTTCACATTTCTTTCAAGAAGTATCATACTTTGTTTAAGTATCAAATAAATATTTTAAAAATATTCTAAACTAATAAATTTCCAAATTTCATGACTTTAAATATAATAATCTGCAATAACTAAAAATTACAGAGGTAATGACATTTCCTAAATTAATATAGAGGTCACATATGTATAAAAAAAATAAACAACACCACCTGCAACACAGAACATAAAATAATATACAAAGAAATTTTATCAGAATCAAAGTAAAATCGGAAAAAAATACATCTAGTATGAATTTCATAGATTTTCTGGTAATCCACTGTACAAGTACAGCAATTAAATGTATAATGTTCATCATAAACAAATATTCAGTTCTAATTGTTCTTTATCTTTGGAAATGAAACAGTGTTTGGAACTCAAAGAAGAAAAATTCACCAGTGTTTTATACCAAGTTTGATCATTAGTCATCAGTGACCCCTAGCAAGAATCATGACAAAGTAAATATTGCAATTTTGGAGGAGATTAAATTCTAATGCAATAAAATGGATGATATTAAAAGCTAGTCCTAAAACCCCTTGGTTCTTTTAAGCTCAGTATTAAAATACTAGTAAGTTGCTGTTTCTACTTTATTTGCTTTTTAACTTCAATATTTGAGCTGTGTCACGACAAAACCAACATAGTGCGTTTGCGACCAGCATGGATCCAGACCAGCCTGCGCATCCGCGCAGTCTGATCAGGATCCATGCTGTTCGCTATCAGTTTCTCTACTTGCTATAGGGTTTGAAAGCGAACAGCATGGATCCTGATCATGACGCGGCTCATTTTGTTGCAGACCTTATCTGCTAACTGACTTCAAAACTTAAAGCTAACTACAAGTATGTCCTTTATATATACATGTACATGTTACCATCAGAGAAAGGGTCAAGTTTTTTCCCAGCTATATGATTAAGACATATATAACATTCTATATTGTTCAAAACAGGAATATACATGTATTACATACAACTACATTAAGATAATAATTTCCTTATAAAACAATGAGTCTTTGTCAATGAAGAAGAGGAATATTACTATCCAAAACAAATATTCCATTTCACTGATGGTGTTGTACACAAGAATCATTTCTATCATCATTTACAGCTCACAAAAATGTATCTTTAAAAGCATCAGTTATATCTAAGAATATACATAAAAAACAATAAAATAATTCAACATCAAAATTAACTAAAATCATAACAATGTCCTAAAATCACCGTAATTAATTCAAATGACAAGAGTTTACATGAACCTATAAATGATCAGATCTTAATGAAATTACAATATGGTTTGATGAAGCACTTTAAGTTAACGGTATTTCATGAAAAAATGCTATATCTTAACCCTTAACTTGCTTGAGCCAAAACAAGTGATGAATTAGCCTTTCCCACATGTACAGAGTTGGGCGCCAGTCTGCACATCCATAATTATAGTCTGTCAAAGCTCTCAACTATTTGTGGCTAATGTTTTGTATTTTGATATTGAAATACCTTAAAATTTGAATAAACTGTTTCAAATTCATTTCATGGGCAAATCCATTACAAAAATTCAGGAGGTTCAGGTTTAAACATTACACTAACAGCAATAATGTCTTATCTTTAATCTATGCCACTAGTATAGAATTGGGTCATTAACAATTACTCAGTCTGACCCAGATCTATACTGAGTTTAATGCTAAATTACAGTATACTAAGAATGAAAGTATACAACATTTCAACAGACCTTTTAAGACTTTTTAATCAAAGTATTACAAAATCAATTTAGATTGGTATGGGTAAAAAAAGTATGATTATGATGAAATATGTTTCAAATTCATTTTTACCTTATTACCATTAGGCATGGATATAAAAAATGCATGTCATGTCAAATGTTTTTTTTTTCAATTCAACATATAAAAGTATGTATTTCATACAGTCCAAACATACATCTTACAAGTTTATTTGAATTATATGCAGGGATTCAGTTTCAGCATAAAGTAAAATTTTATTTTTAGGCTGCTTAAATACCAAGAAATAGTATTTTTATCCCTCAATTTTGATTCGATGCCCTGTTGCAGTTTCCAAATAGCCACTCACTGGCCGTACATCTGAACCATCTTTTGGTTATTTTTACATTTTGGTATTCATTTAGTACAGTT